CTCCTAAATCCCTCGTACGCACAATTTAAGAACAAATCTGTGCGTACGAACGGTTCTTGCATGAGGCCCATTTTTCTGTTGGGGTTCAGATATGCCATCAAAAACATTTAATTTCAATAAAAAAATACAAGATCAGGTGTTCAAGAACAGCTCCTAAAACCTCTCTTCAGCTGATTTGTTCTGTTCATACCCAAACTGTAGTGCTTCCTGGAATCTGATTGGCTCATGGGCTTAACATACAAGAATCACAAGCCCCGGTATAGAAATATTCCCTCTGTTTTATTTCACTTTGGCCACAGATTTTCCAGACTCCCTATACCCCACTGGATTTGTGTCCTGTAGTGGCAGATAATAACATAATAAATGCCAAAAAAGACAATAATCATTTAAAGCCATAACAACTGTCAAAAACYAGATTTTCCAATTGGTTTGATTTGAATTTTTAGGCTTCTAATAGAATTTCTACATCATTAAATGATTGTTAGGAAGGTAATGTAACTTAAACTCAAAAGAGTTTTTGTACCAGCAGGCAATAATTACACTGTACTAAAAATTTTCTGCAGACCAAAGGTATCTTAAATTGGAAAAAATACAATAGACTCAAAATGGAAAAAACTTAAATGAAGCAGCGAGAGCACAACCTGCCCCAGCTAGTCTTATTATTTTAATTTCTGCTCAAAGCAGATTTTTTTTTGACATCCAGCAACAGGAAAGGATAAGACCCACCCCAAACAGACTCTTCCAGGTATTCAAACACAGCCATACCAGAACTTTTGGACCTACCTTTCACACAACACAGCTACATGACAACCATCATAGGAGCTCGTGAGTCGACACACAGCCATGTTCTGGAAAGGACAAAAAAATAAAATCATTCTACAGGAAGGACACCTTTTATTGTAAAGGTTTAGACCAAAAGGAACAGTTTGATACTGCTAACCAGATCATAAAATGAGATAAACATAGCTGAACTGACTGTGGTGAGGTAAAAGGTCAGTTTCAATGATAATGACATTGTCGTAGCCTAAATGGACTAACAGTTCAGTTAGAGAACATGAAGAACATGAAAGTGTAGCTATCATCTATGATGTGAAGAACTTACTGTTGATGACAACTAGCCTATCAAACCATTTTATAATCAAGAGTAGATTATTGTTCAACCTTAAAGCAGTGGACCAATACCACTCAATATTTCTTTGGTGGAAGTGGTCTTAATAAAAACAATCCAATGTGGAGCCACAAGTCTGATGGTATTTTCTATGGACTGTCTTATGAATGAAAACACAGTTTTTCCTGTTTTACATGCAAGTGCCAGTACAATTAGCTCAAAATGACAAAAATTCACTGATGGTAGTTTTCCACACCTTCTCTTTGTCAGGATCAGAACTTGGGTTTTCATCAAACAGCCTGAGGTCCCAGCTCTGCAGACAACAGCCAGATTTGTAATCCCACAGCTTCACGGTCCCATCCTAACAAACATAAAAAACACTTTACAGAACTGTACAACAAACCACTTAGGCTGTTCAACCTTAAATAAGTGGGTCACTTCTGATACAAATACACAGAACATTTGTTCTGCATTAAAAATATGTACTTTTTAAACATTCTCATGTTTCAGCAAAGTGGAGTGGTCTTTGTTAATCTCACCAGCTCCAACCAGCCCCTCCCCTTTCGATCAAAGTTATAAATATTGCCATTTGAGCTGGTTGGAGCAGAGTTGGAGAGAAGTAGGAAGCACTGGACAAAGCACGATGAGAAGCTGCGGATAAAAGGCAGAAAGGTCTCCAAGCGCACTCAGCAAAAAGTGTGCAAAAATAACCAACGTTTCCCACAACAAGCCAAAAAAATATCTGGCCTACCGTATATATATTAATTTAAATAGTGGTGTGCCGTCAGGGCCAGCAAAGCCTTCTCTGCTGGCCTAAACACAATCAGAATCACTTGTTTATATTTTAGAATATTTTAC